TTTTTTTTTTTTGTTTTATATTTTTACGCGAACGGCTATATAGATTCCTATAGTAATGAAACTGTTGAATTGTATAATTGTGTACATCCGTACCGAACGTAATAATTTCGAATCCACGTCTTTCTGTCCGATTCATTTCAGCTTCGTCGAAAAATGCCAGAGCTTTTACTAACTAGAGTAGCAGAGCGAAAGAGTAGAGTATTAAAGTTCCGCGTAACATATATTCATTTCACGATGAAAAAATTAATCAAACGGGTAGAATAGATTATCATCTCATGTGTGGATAGTCTTCGGAAAAATGGATTCTGAAGATTCACATACATTTGCTATACAAACATGTGGATCGTGCGTCGTTCTTCCGTTTCAATGTCTGTTATTACAAAACAGAATGTTTTATCGCGTATATTTGGAAAGATCATTCCTTTCATATGATATAACAATATATCGCAGTTACAAAACTATGAAGGCTGAAACTTGCAATTCCGTTATACACATATTCGGCTTGAAAAGTCATTCACAATTTCAAATGCAAGCGTAAATGCAAACGTGACTTTTGTTAAAAAAACGTATCACTCGTTTTCGTATTCTCGTTTTTCTCGTTGCAGAGAGAAGTCGTGGATAGATATCTGACTAATTGTAAGGTTAGCCATGAAATCGACATTTTTCACGGATATCTGCCAACCTACGTGACTAAATTGCATTATCCGCCCTAATTTCCAGCTGTCGGAGTACTCGTTAATAGCGAAGCTTTGGCACGTAATTACGGCAACTTCTTTAATTCCCGGCAACGGGAGAGGGGATATCTGTCAATTTCAGAGTCGTCCTCGTTTTGCCGCAAATCCATAACAATTGCAGAAGAATAATATAATAATAATATAACAGAAGCTAAAGTAGCGTGGCTTGATCTAAACGCAATCTATCGAAATAAATAAATGCGTTGAGTTTGATAACTAGATCAAGTAGATCGAGAAGACTAGAAAGACTCAGATAGGGTGTCTCGTTGTACACGCGAAGTAGAACAGGGGTTTTATATCACGGATATAAAAATAACAGAAAAAGTTCATATAAACATTACCCTATACGACCTTGTTTTCAATCTTGTTTTGTGCTTCGTATGCTACATATGCGTCTGTTCCGCGATATATACTGCGCGGTTGCTTGGCATTGGCTCGTTGTTTTTCCGCGAGATTTCAGAAAATCAAACGAGAGATCAGACGAATTTCGGACGCTTCGTCTCTTTCAGTCAATTTTGATTTTTTTTACAATCGTAGAATATATCAACGTGTCGCAAAGTCGATCGACGCGGTTTTCACGATTTTTCCATCGTTTTATTTTGATTATTTCTTACCTCTGTTCGGCGATTAACGTCAATGTTAATAAAATAAGAACACAATTCACACGCTGTCAATAAAAATTTTCACTCGAGCTGGGTAAGTACCAGACGCATAAAAAGTCATCGCGTTGACACGAA